AATGATGAGGGCAATGAATGTACAAATGTGCTTTACACAATTGATGTATGTATGGATTGTGATAAGAGTTGTATGAGCCCCTAATAAATTGATTTAAAAAAAAGAAATAGTCACAAAATTAAGGTAAATCTGTTTGCTTAATTTGGAGTTGCTCACTGTAGCTCAGTGAGGAGAACTGATTTTCATCATGTTGTTGTGATGTGGTGTCTTTGAGTATGTCGTGATTCATAGCAATACCGTGTACAATGGAACTTCACACTGCCAGGTCCTGCATCATTCTCAAATTGTTGTTATGTTTGAGCCCAATGTTGTAGCCACTGTTTCATTCCATTTTGTTAAGAAAAATCTAGCGATTTATCATGAAAGCAGTCTTCTATACACTTTTTCTAAGTCTTGGCATCAATTTTAACGCGGTACTGCTGCAGGTATTGAGGTAAGTCTGACTCACTCTTGCCTGATTTCTTAAATTAGTACAAGTGGAAAAGAAAATGCCTACATGCTGGGAACAATAATTACTGGAAATTCTGACTAAATAAGAACTTATGGTCAAAAATGAAGAAATGTGGAACCGCAGAATAATCATTGAAAGCTTTTAGGATAAGAAGAGTACAACACCAAAAATTTGAGATACAATGATGAGTCTTTTCATGTAAATGATGCAATAATTGTTGTTGACTGCCATTGAATCGGTTCTGAATCATAGCAACCATATGCACAACAGACTTTATGCGCATTGCCCAAACTTGCTCCAGTCTAACGATTGTTGTTATATTTGAGTTCCTTGTGCAGCCACCGTGTCAAAGCACCTGTTTGAAGACTTTTTTACTTGACCTTCCACTTTACTCCATGTGTCCTTTTCCAGGGACAGGTCTTTCCTGAGAGCGTGTCCAAAGTGAATGAGATGGAGTCTTGTCATCCTTGCTTCCAAAGAGCATTCTGGCTGTACTTCCTCCAAGGTATGTTTCTTTGTTCCTCTCGCAGTCTGTGGTACGTTCAGTGAACTCCTACCAACGCAATCATTCAAACACAGTGATTCTTCCGTCTTCCTTATTCAATTTTCAGCTTTCACAGTCACACGAGGCAATTAAAAAAATAGAACCAAAGCTTTAATCAGGCTCACCTCAGTCCTTTCATAGTTTTGCTCTTTAACAGTTTAAAGAGGTCTTGGGCAGTAAACATGTCCAAGGTGATACATCCTTTTGAGTTACTGATTGCTGCTTCCCTGAACACGGATTGAAGATCCAAGTACAATGACGTCCTTGATAGCTTCCATCTTTTCTCTGTTTATCTATAATGTTATAATTCTCCAATTGTGAGTACTTTTCTTTACCTTGAGTTTTAATCCATACTGAAGACTTCAGTGTTTGATATTTATCTATAAGTGCTTCAAGTCCTCTTGGATTTAAACAAGCAAGGTTGTGTCACCTGCATATTAAAAGTTGTTAATGAGCCTTTTTCCATTTCCTGATGCTGAGTTCTTATTCTTAGTGTAGCTTCTTGACTATTTTGCTCATTGTACACATTGAATAAGTATGGTGAAAAGATATAATGCTGGTGCACATTTTTCCTGATTTTATTTATTTATTTATTTTTCCCACTGTGCAACCCACTTCAGTGCCTTAAGCCCACTGGGTAAAGCCAGGCAATGGTTTGGGGTGACAATTTGCTTTGGCATGGGGTACTATGAGAGGCCCATGGGATCGGATTTTTCCTGATTTTAAATCATGCACTATTCCTTTGTTCTGCTCTAAAGACTGCCTCTGAAATGATCAGGAATGTCCATTCTTCTCAATGCTATTAAAACTTTGCTAGGATCTACACAGTTGAATGTCTTTGCATAGTCAATAAAACACAAGTAAACATTCTCTTCCTGGTATTCTTCGTTTTCAAGTAAGGTTTATTTGACAACAACGACGATGTGCCTTGTTCCACGTCCTCTTAAGAATCCTGCTTCAATTTCTGGCAACTCCCTGTCTACATACTATTACAACCATTTTAAAATTATCCTCAGTAAAATTTCACTTGCATGTGATATTAATGTAAATCACAGTAGTTTGTTTATTATTATTATTATTATTATTATTATTATCTGCCACTGAATCAGCCCTGATTCAGAGAGATCCCATGCGCAATTGGATAGGACACAGTCCAGTCCTATGTCATTGACATAATCCATTGTAGATCCAAATGCTTTGACCCATAAGGTTTTCTTTGGTTGATTTTCAGAAATAACATGTTAGGCCTTTTTTCCTAGTCCTTCTTAGTCAGAAAGTTCTGCTGAAATCTGCACTCCAGCAGTGCACACAGTTTCCCTGGTGGGTAGTGCTTGTCCATGCGGTGCCTCGGTGAGGAAGAGAAGTTGAGCCTTGTGCATGGAGAGTGAGAGTTCTCCCCCTGAACTATCTCTGCCACCAATAGTTAATACTGAGCCCCTTATAATATCTTAAAACGTATTCAAAATAATGTAGTTGGCCTTGGAGTCTTAATGAAATAAAGACTAAAAGATTGTAATGTCTCACAATGTTTTCTTTCTAAAGGCAATGAATTTTATTTTTCTTTTCTGTGTCTGAAATATAGAAATCAGCTGTTTTCATTTATAATGATTTTACTGAAATGTGTTATGAGGAACATTTTAACTAGCTTTTAAAAAATAAAATACTTTCCTTTCTTTGCAAAGGATCGAATGTTTCTTATCTCACTTTTAAAAATGTAAAAGCTGAACTGGTCTGGGCTTAAAACTAAGGGTTCACAGAACTAAGATGTCAAGATTAAAATAGCTCTCCTGCATGTCATTTGATACAGCCCTTGCAACAAGAAAGTAAGACAATTCAAAAACGGACCTCTAAAAGTTGAAAGTTTTTACATTTGAACAGTGCTCTAAAAATTACCTGGTCCCAGCCAATGTCGTTGTTTGAGTTTTAAAGTTTCTGTTTACATTATGGTTAATTAGGAAAAGGAGCTTTAGCATGCAGCCTGTTCCATGACCACCATGGTGCAGTTCACCAGAGACTTAAAGCCCTCTGTGCTGTTCCCAGCCTCCCCAAACGTTGCTCCCCAGTATAGCCAATCCGTATGGGATTTCCTTCTTTTGAATTTCCTCTTTAGTTTCACATATGCCCGTATAGAAGTATCTGTCAAGGATTACAAAATAAATGAAATAAAGAGGAAAAAATGTGATCATTTCTCCAGGAGTAGGAATAGTTGTTTGTTTGTTTGTTTTTGTTTGAGGGATCGGGAGACACCGGTGTTGGTGAATCTCTAACGCATGGCTTGGCATTTGTGTCTACATGACACAACGATCTGACCGACAAAGCTTAACCATCTTCTTTTCCCATTTAAAAAATTCTACTTCCCATTTAAAATAATTCAAGGAAGGGTCTCTCCCTCTCCCTCCCACTCTGTCTCCCCCTTCCTCCCTCCCTCTTCCCTTGCTTCCTTTCTTCTTCTTTTTCTTTCTCTCTCTCTCTCTGCCAATATTGTAGAGGATAAGTTGTGCAAGACTCAGCCTCACTTGCTTTGAGCACATCACCACTAGAGAACCATCAGTAAAAGAGAAAACCAGGTCTGAGCGTTTGTTGTTGTTAGGTGCTATCAAGTAATTTGTGACCCAACGCAACCGTAGGTCCAACAGAAGTAAACACCCGCTGGTCCCGCGTCATTCTCACCATTGTCCCTATGCTTGCGCCACTGTGGTTGACGTCTCTGTTCGATCCGGTTCATTGATGGTCTTCCTCTTTCTTGCTCTCCCTTAAGTTTACCAAAGATGATGTCTTTTTCCAGGGACTAACTATCTCTCCAGACAATGTGTCCAAAATACGTAAAGCAAACTCTTGCCATCCTTGTCGCCAAGGAACACTCTGGTGGTACTTCTTCAAAGACAGGTTGTTTTGTCCTTTAAGCCGTGCATGGTACTTTCCATGTTTCTCCCCAGTACCATAATTCAAAGGCATCAATTCTTCTTCGGCCTTCCTTATTCAATGTCCAACTTTCAAATGCATATATGGAAAATACCATGGCTTGGGTCAGGAGCACCTTAGTCTTAAAAGTAACATCTTTGCCTTTACCTAATGCAATGCATCTTTTGATATTTCGACTACTGCTTCCATGCTCATTGATTGTAGATCCAAGCAAGACAAAATCCTTGGCACTTCAGCAAAAATAAGGGTAACCCTCAATGAAATAGATTGACATAACAGCCACAAAAATGGGTTCAAATATATCAAGAGTCATAAAGATTGTGCAGGACTAGCAATATTTCATCTCTTCTATACATGGCAGCTATGAGTCAAGTCCAACTAGGCAGCATCTAATATGTTCAGAAAGTTGGCCTTGACATTTTGCATACTTTAATTGGGATTTTAGTCATATTGTAAATCCAAATTGACAAAAAGTAGGTAAACATATTCTTATGGTTGTTCTAATGTATCCCTTGAGTCCCTCTTTACATTTTGATTCCTGTATAGTATGTATATTTCTGAAGAAATCAAGAAGATAATGAAACAATAGAGAAGAGTAGTCAATTATTCTCCTCTTGTGCAGATTGTTAAAACCAAGGGGTTTTTTTTTGCAAATCTAGAAAAAAGTGAGTCTGTTTACAAGACCAGATGATCTCTTCTTGAAGCCACTTCCCACACTGGAACGACTTTAGCACGAAATCAAGGTAAAGTGAGGATACCTCTCCCTCTACTTAAAAAGAAGCCATTAGTAGCTTGTATTTTTAATCACACATGGTAACATAGACTTTACTAGACCACAAACTGTCACCTTTCCTAAGTATTATAATCATTTGGGAAGCGAGCTGATACCAAGGGCTCAAGTAGAAAGAAAATGTTTTGAGAATGATGAGGGCAACAAATGTACAAATGTGCTTGACACACAATGGATGGATGGATGGATGGATTGTGATACAAGTTGTACAACCCCAATAAAATGACTATATATATATATATATACTTTTGATTTAATTAGTCTGATGTTGATCTATGGCATCTGTTATTTTTAGGAGTTTCCTAGGAGACTGAAAACCATTAGATTTGACTCTGGCTCCATTTCTGATGTATCGAACCAGGAGTTCTTGGAAAAGTCCCTGGGAACCTGCATTTACCAAACACTCCCAAAGCTCTGACGTCAAACAGAATGTTTGAGTACAATGCTTATTAGATTCCCCTCAACTCCACTTGACATTTTTTCCTTTATTCAAATGATGAATCCAAGATGCAGAGATCAATGGCTCACACAAGTTCATATGGTCAGAAATGACAGCTGGTGTCCAAAGCTCAAGACTTCTGGCTGAGAACTCTAGCCCTGGCTGTTGTTGGATGCATAGAATATCAGCTCCATAGTCATATGTTAGGTCTAGCTTGGGCCTAGGATCTTAATCTTCATTCTCCCATTGTATTTCCAAATCCTGTCTTTAAGGCTATGGCAGAGCTTGCTCTGTTCCCTAAACAGAGTTTCTAAACTTTTCTAGTTCCCTGCCAATCTTTATTGTTCTCCATATGTAGCATGTGGCATATTGTATGACATATATTTTCTTGGTCTGCCTGCACTACTAGAATATTTTATGTGTAGTGTATTGCTTTATACCCAGCACCTATAGAAAGTCTTAGGAAATACTTTTGGAATTAATAATTAGTTGAAACACTGAAAGTTTCTTCATGTCTTGGTACCAGTCCAAGGTATCTAAACCTTTTGGTTCTCCAACATTCCTGCCTTGTGATATTTACTAATGCCTCGTCTGGACCTATTTCAAATCCTGTTTTGTCCTTACCGTGATCTGTGAAATGCATTTCTCTTCTGCTGTGGAACTAGCTTTTCACACTTGCAATTAATTCAGAAACAACATGAATAATCTTTTGTTGTTGACTTCACTAAAAGTGCACCAATGAGATGATAGCAAAGCCAAAAAATGTTTGCAAGTTTGCAAAACCTTTCTCACGACATCTTTATGCCACGTTTCCTCTTTCCTATAATTTATTGGGATCTGGAGACCTGCTTCTTCCACAAGGAGACCCACCATAGAAGTTTCACTTACCATAGCTTTGTAACAGCTGAGAACAAGAGTTATGTCTTTGACCTCGTGGAGGTGAAGAATTCCAAGTGTATGTTTCTAGTTTATAAAGAGGCAAGACCGATGTCAGAAAAATGGGTTGGTTATGTTCTTTTGAGGTTATATTGAAATGTTTTCTGGCATTCCATTTAATGATAATGAAAATGGCAAAAACCAAACAATGTGCATTAGCCTATTTTATTTGAAACAGGATCAAAGAGTCCTCTGCCGTGCCGGCCACACCATGGGCTTAGGGACAGACGCGGTGCATCTGATGCAAATGCCCGCTTAGTGCGTGTGATCTGAGTTCCAGGCTGAGACTTTCCGTTTCCTCTCGTTCAACGGTGCATCAATATCTGGTGATGGTGCCAAAGTAGGGAAAATAAAATGCCAAGCATTCACACTGAACTTTGAACACATTCTTACATAATTGTTTTTATTCCACCAGCATCCGCAGAGGAACCAGAGGCCCAGATTCCTGAGGACAGTGCTTGACATTGATTGATCACCCTATCATACATTTCCAAGCTACCTGGTTCAATGTTCCCACCGCAAATCTGGCTCACGATCTAGACAGTGCTCCTGAGTCACCTTGCATGGCTATTGCCATCTGCACCCTGTACTTTCTATGGATGATATTATTAAGTTGGACTTTCCAATTGACCCGTTGGGGTCCATA